AGCTCACATGATCTTTACCTCATTTGGTTCCAAAGCAGTCCTGTAAGTCAAGTATTATTCCTATTTAAGTGGGAAAAGATTGACCCTTAAACAAATATATATATTTCTGCCTGAGATTCAGAAGAAACATGGGATTTACTTTTTAAAAGTTCTGACGTATTTATTAAGTGCCACGTTGTCTTTATAAGATGATAGACAGTGTTTAAATTGCTTTACATTTTTCCCCCATTATATTGGGGTGGTATTTTTGTGTGTGTGCAACATAAGTAAAATGTGTTCGTCCTGAAAAAATGAGAAGCTCCAACAAAGCAAAAATGAAAACAAACAAAATTCGCCTATTATCTTACCCCACACACAGCCACTGTTAAACCTTTGAAGTATATACTTTCAGTTTTACTTTGCATATTAATATATAAATATACATTTTTTTTTTATAAAAATGGGATACTACATATACTTTTCGAAAGTTGCTTCACAATATATAACGTCCATCTTTCCATGCATAATGGGTGAGACACATAATTGAAAGGGAGACTTGCCGATGGGGGAGAAGGAGCCCAATTTTACACCAGTTACAAGCGAAACACCTTAAATAAAGCCACGCAAAGAAGTTAAAATTAAGAAGACGGCCAGAGGGATTCGAGCGGCAATACTGAAATCAGGCAAACCCAGCATTGAAGGCCGACACGTTAAATAGGGTAAGGACGGTTCCGTCTCGCCTTCCAGTGCATGATCATCAGTTTGTTTCGTACTCTTTTCATCTCTTCCATCTCCTCTGCTACCTTTATCATCTCCTCGTTGCTCAAATTTCTGCCGTGTATGTCCCCTTTAAGTTGCGGGCGGGAGCGGGCCAGCCTTTCCTTAAAGCTGCCTTCTTCCAGCTTGTGCTTTCCCACCCCGCAAGGAGGCTGCTCCATGGGCGGCCGCGCCTCGAACAGGTCCTGCGGAGAGAGGCGCTCCTCTGGGGGGCGCTCCTGGGACATCAGCAGCTCGGGAAGGAGCTCGGGAAGGAGCTCCTCGGGAAAGAACTCCTCCTCGGAGGACTGTTCTTCCGAAGAAAGCTCCTCGGCAGAAGCTTCCTCCGGACAAGGCTCCTCCGGACAAGGCTCTTCGGGCGAGGGCTCCGCCTGAGGCTGCTCCTCGGCCGTTCTGGGCGTGCTCTGGGGCTGATCTTCGTTTGCTCGGCAGGATTTGTCCATGCTGGGAACGGTCTTCATATAAGCACGGTTATCCAGAAGAGACAAGCAAGGCAGCCGAGTCAGCATATTTGGTGGCTGGACCAAAACCCCGGCCTTGGGTTCCAAAAACCTTCCTTGCCCTGATTCGGAGAACAGGTCCTCCCACCGACGCTGGCCCAGAGGCCGTGGCCCCCGAGGACCCCGCCCCGGTCGCCCCCTCCTTCCCGAAAACCCACCATTTTCCCAGCAGGCCTTGCCCCGGGCCTCTCCCGCAGCTGCAGGGGCGGGGCGGTGGCGCCGCCACGGACTCGGTTCCCACCGGCGTCCTCCCTCGCACCCCAAACCGGTCCCCTGCTCACCCCTTCCCGGACCCGGACCTCTCTCCTGGCCGTTTGCTCCCAGGCGTTCTCTCCTCGAGGTGCCCCGCTGTGACCTGCAGACCCGCAGACAGCCGCCAGACAGGGTAGGGGGAGGGGAGTGGGGAGGGAGGAAGGACTGACTGACACTTGCGCCCCT